TGCCATCGCCTGCGAGAACGCCCTGTTGGTGGCCATCATCTGGTGCTCGCCCGCCCTGCGCACCCCCATGTTCGTGCTGGTGGGCAGCCTGGCCACGGCCGACCTCCTGGCCGGCCTCGGCCTCATCCTCAACTTCGTTTTCCAGTACGTGATCCGCTCCGAGACGGTCAGCCTGCTGACGGTGGGCTTCCTCGTCGCCTCCTTCGCCGCCTCTGTGAGTAGCTTGCTGGCCATCACGGTCGATCGCTACCTCTCTCTCTACAACGCCCTCACCTACTACTCGGAGAGGACGGTGCTCTGCATCCACACCATGCTGGCGGGGGCCTGGGGGGTCTCCCTCTGCCTGGGGCTGCTGCCCGTCCTGGGCTGGAACTGCCTCCATGACCGCGCCGCCTGCAGCGTCGTCAGACCCTTGACCAAGAGCAACGTGACGCTGCTGTCCGCCTCTTTCTTTCTCATTTTCCTCATCATGCTCCATCTCTACATCGAGATCTGCAAGATCGTTTGCAGGCATGCCCACCAGATAGCTCTCCAGCAGCACTTTCTGACTGCTTCTCACTATGTCGCCACCAAAAAAGGAGTCTCTACCCTTGCTATAATCCTCGGGACTTTCGGGGCCAGCTGGCTGCCTTTTGCCATCTACTGCGTAGTGGGGGATCCCGACTACCCTTCCGTGTACACGTACGCCACGCTTCTACCCGCTACCTACAACTCCATGATCAACCCCATCATTTACGCCTACAGAAACCAGGAAATCCAGAGGTCCATGTGGGTGCTCTTCTGCGGCTGCTTTCAGGCTAAAGTGTCCTTTCGCTCCCGGTCCCCCAGCGATGTCTGAGTGACTTTTCTCTCTGTCGTACCACACCGAGTGACAATCTACCCAGTGAACTAGTACGGTGCCCGGGGGGGTCTTCAAAGTACGTCGTGAAGTCGTTGGAAACATGCTTAAGTATTAGCACTTTATACATGTTCGTATCTCTGAGAGTGGTTCGGGGTATGGAGTTTTGGGTTCCGCGAAAAAAAAAAGTGGTTGTATATAAATTTGCACATCACATTTGTAAAGTGAAGACATTCCGATACCGCTTAATTATAGCACCTTATTTCTAGCTGCTGACCTGCCAAAACAGTGTTGCCTTTCTGAAGGGCAGAGAGAAAGAAAGTTGTGTTTGTATTTGTACGTGTGTGTGTGTTGGGGGGGGGGGTGTATGTATGTATGTGTGTATCTATACTTTGCTGCACAATATTGATAAATTATAACATTTTGTATACAAATAAAAACATGTAAGATGTAGTATAACTTTGTGTGTTTAGATGCTTTTAGAAAGAAGAGAGCTGGCAAATTTGCCAGTTGAGCGAAGTCCCTTTGTTTACTTTTGAAAGCTCCCCGTGTAATTCTGCCTGAAGAGATCATCATTCACTATGGAGATGAAATACCGCGCCAAGAAAGGCACCTTCCTGCCTGCTTGCTTGTTTGTTCTCTTTAGTCTGGCGAGGAGAGAGTAATGAAGAGCGCAAACTCCTTTTTATTCTCCAGCAACCAAAGAAACAAAAAGCCCAGTCAAATAGGCTGCTAATTACAGTCATTTGCCAGGTTTCCAGTAGCTTTCATCTTCACGTTATTATAAGTTAGCCCTTTATGATAATGCTCCATTAACAAGTTATCAAACCGGGGGGGGGGGGGAAATAGACTCTAAGCTGGGCTCTTTTTTTCCTCTTTTAGTCTAACACTGGAGGGGAAAAAAGGAAAAAAGAAAAAAAGTCTCAGTCTTCTTTCCTAAAAGCCTGTAAAATGCCACAATAATTGACTTGCCTTATCATCCGCAGTTCTGAGGGGAACCTGAATTGTTTTATCCCCCTCTCCTTTTCAGACTGCGTGCTGTAGAAAAATCATTTAAGTGCATCTTTGCTGTCTGCCTGTCTCAGAGCAGCATACAGTTTTCTGATAATCCCACGGCTTAGTGGCTTCAAAGAGCCCATCAGAGGTCGATGTTGTTCAGAGTTCGGAAACACTTCTTCACTCAGGTTCAAATTCACCGGCGATTGATTTATTTAGAGCAGTAATACGCGCGGCGGATTTCAGAAGCAGTGTTGCTGCTTGTTTATTTATAGTTCTGCTACATTTACATCCTGGTTATGTTACAGTTTATCACTATCATTTCAATTTGTATTTAAGGGCTGAAACAGATTACTTTTATGTGCATATAAAAAGTTCGGACTAATGTGTTTTCCAGCTTATGACTGGGCAATGCATCAAGCGTTTGCCTGCTGGAGAAGCTGGGGCCACAGGGATCCAACAAGCCTCAGCGAGGCTGTGAGTCAGTAACGCTGTATTTATGTGAGTGCAATTATTATGAAAACCAGTATCACTTCACTGATAATACAAAGATATTTCATTTAAAAAAAAAACAAACCGTATTCCAGACTCAGCTAGCCCCATTATTTTTATCAATTCTAATAATCACAAATGTGTCATTGTAATTGATGAATACCTTCAGGCATGCAGTTCATCAGGGCACTGTGGCAGTGATGTTACAAATATGATTTAAACCAGATCAAGACAGGTCAAAACGCTGCCCGGATTAAGAACTCTAAAGTTGCTAGTGAGAAAGATTTTTTTCCCCCCCTCTTTTAAGCCCCCATCTCATACGCTGCGACTAAGCTAGTAAATAAAAGAGGGCAAGGTCTGCCCTCTAGCCCTCCGGCCGGGTGGCACGGAGCGTGCCTAAACTCTTTTCCCCCTGCAAAGCCAGGGACCAAACTGCTGGGTGGAGCATCCTGGCCCTGCTCTGTAACCTGCATAGACTCAGCCAAAGATGCTGCATCACCCACAGTAGTAACTGCTGAGAGAAAAGACCGCCGAGTGCCTCGGACTGGTAGAATCTGGCAAAACTTTCTGGTAAAATGGGAAAACTTTCCATCTGCTAGGCTTTAGGCTCATAAATCTTTGTCATTCCTGTGTGGACCGCAGTAAAACCGCAGGGCAGGGTTCTGGCCATCGGTTCCCTCACTGAGTGTTTCCTGCAAGCCGCGCTCCACGCCGGGATGCAGGTACACCCCGGTACAGTACCGTTCAGTACACCCCGGCACTGAACCTGCACCCAGGTGTGAGGTGCTGAGTAAGACCTGAGCAGGCTCCTGGGAGCCCTGTGCAGGCTCTGAAGACCAGTATTGGCTCTAAAAGCCCCTAGGAGAAATTTTTTATGCGTACTTTTAGACTCTGAATTTAGGGAGACCGAATCTGCTAGAGACCACCCCTGATGCCACCTCCCTCCATGAACTCTGTCAGGAACTGGGCATCAGGGATTTTCACCATAAATTCATTAAGCAGTGACAACCCATATAAAAATTAGATATAGAAAAACTTAGATGGGTAGAATCCTACTTCAGTAATAATCCACTTAATCCGGGAGCGAAAAGGACTTAGGTGAGTTGCTTTTCCATTTTTAGCCCAACATGTTATTTGCTTTGTTTCGTGATTTTACTATATGACGACATTTTCAGTCTAGCACTTTCCCCAATGGTTTACTGTATCTACAAAATAAAGCTGGATCCCTCCTGTTAAAAATGCGACACTTTCAAGGTATTTCCCCGAGCATTCTTCCCCTCTTCTAGGAAGCAAATTTGGGTTACAGTGATCTTAGCCATTCATTTTGTTGGGACAATACAAATGTGGTTTTTTTTCTATATACCACGTTCAGAAAGCTTTTGCTGACTCATAATTTCTGGGAAAGACTAAGGCAAAAGAAGAGAGACTATTTTGATGGTTTTTGGTTAGCCCTGGGAGTGGAATTGACGTCAACCCACTTGCAGTAAAATACGGCCTTTCATTTTCAAAGCGAGTCCCGATCTGCAGGGATACCTGAGCAGAATAACATAAAGCAGGCTACATAATCTCTTGCCTTCCCAAACAACATCTCACTTTAGAAAAAGAAGAGCTGCGATTCCTGATGGAGGAAGTCCAGGAATTGTGTCTAGCATGATGCATATATTTTCCTTGCTGAGTTTTTTATTGAAAGAGCATACATTTATTTGAGGAAATAGTGTGACATTTGCAATATCTGGACCCACAAACTCCTCCTGTTGTCAGATGATGGCACTTTTACCTTGGTCATGAAATCATTTGTGGAAGACAAAAATTCCTGTAGCCCCCATTGCCAGTCGCTGGGCAGTGCATCGCCGTGACCCCCCTGCAGCCCCGATGGGGAGCCAGCTAGGGGGACAACCATGTACTGTGTCTGGTCTTGTATTTCCAAAAGTCAATGGGCAACTTTGCCTGCCCAGAGACTGCAGAACTGCAATAGAAATTGCCATCACCACTGGTGAGCACGGATCTTTCCTTGTCCCTGCGGGCCCGTGTGCTCAATGGTTTTTACATTCTCACGTCAATGGTGCAGTCTGTGAGGGGAGAAAACGCACACTGAGTTAGGCGCAAGGATCAGGTCCAATGTTTGGTAATGATATATTATATGTAGCCTTTACTGAAAATGGAAATGAGATTTCCTGCTTTAACACCCTTAAAAATTCTTTGGCTTGTTCTGAAGTAGATAAAATAATGTCAGTCTTGGTCTAAAGAGCTCCCAGCCTGCTCCCGCTAAAACCAGTGATGCTCTATTGCACATCAGGCAAGATAATGACAGTATCTCATTATAAAAAATTACCATTTTGAGGCAGGAAGTCCTCGGCCTCAGCTCCAATTTTCATTAGAAACTAATGGTTTATTACTAACCTTGAAAATCTTACAGGACTTGCAGTGCCTCAAAAGGCCAGATCCTGGCAATTTGGCTTGCGTGAAGCACCTCTCTCTGTGATTAGCTCCCTCATTTCGGCGGGAGCAATTACAGAAAGAAGAGCACAGTTCTGGTGAGGAAGGCCTGGTCGGGACCTGGGCTGAAAGCCCCCCCCGCCGCTTGATTTTCTGTGGGGCTTCTGCTGAAATCAGCGGTGTAACGGTGGAAATGAGACCGACTCCGCAGGTTGCTTTGTATGAGTCACTGTATATTAAAAAGCCAGCTGGATTCAAAATCACAGGTCAAACAAAACCTCTTTATTTAACTAAGCAAACAAAAGGACAAAACACTTTTAAACCTGCAAAGTGAGTCTGTACATATTTTTATCAATGTAATGATCCACAGGTACTAAGTAACACCCGGCGAAGCACTAGAAGCTCTAATCTCCATTCTGCCACTCTCATTTTAAAAGGATAAATTTTTTTAATGAGGTAAAAAAAATTTCTGATAGTGCAGCTGCTCCTACGCTCTTGTGGTAGTCATTTAAAAAGAAAAAAAGACAAGGGGGAAAACAAAAACCCGTGTTTTTTCCTTCTTCCTGCTTCATGACAAAGACATGCGACTCGGAGGGCAAGGAGTGACCGAGTGGGTGCGATTCAGCTCTGCGCGGAGGATGAGCACATCTGGAGCTCACCTTAACCCCTGCTGGGTTTGCTTGTTTGGGGGACACTCTGAGTTGCGAGGTGCCTCCCCGTTGCCTGGTCCTCATCGAGTGAACTCCTCCCTGGGACCTGCTGCAGCTGAAAGCTCACGAAGCAGCTCCTGAGCTGCTGCGTTTTGCTCAGGAGTGCCACCCAAAACTCCCCTGGGTGGAAAACCGACATGCCTTTCACTGCCCTCTCAATGTTTAAACTCTTTCCTCCGAATACAGAAAGCTCTCCCAGGGAAAACATCCCCCCAGGGGCAGTTTCATTTATCGAGGGCAGTAACTCGGCGTGGAAATAATCCAACTGCTGCTGGGGCACCTGGAAAGCCATAAGCGCTGACTCAGCACTGACAGTAGATGTGGCAACCGGTTCAGCGGAGGCAGGTCTGCTCGTGTCAGCTCTGT